GTAACGCTCGCGGACTCGGCGAGCGGCTGGGTGGCTTTGACTTGCACAGCACTGATGTCCCTTCTCCGCGAGGGCAGCAGTCGGCTAACAAGGGACTGGTCGAGGTTTAAAGAGCTGTTTTCGCCCTCCTCCCCATCCCTGCTCCAAAAAAAAAAAAGCGTGTTCGTCGGGATGCCTTGGGCGTTTTTAAAGAGTATTACGCTTTCCAGTCTTTATTACTTAAAGAGATCTGAAAGACATCCGTAAAGGAAAAAAGCCTGTAAAAATGACTTTTGAGGTATAGCTCTTTATTTTCTCCTATTAATTTTAAAATAACTTCAGGAACTGGCTGGGTGTGTAGCTAGGGAGCTTCACACCATCCCGATCATTCGCTACTTTTAATATTTTGCAGTAATTACATGATGCTTTTATAACACCTTCCCCTTGACCAAAATGCGTTTGTGAGAAAATGACTAAATCGCAGCACGAGTCCTACCTACCAGCTTCTACACGCCATCATTAAATTTAAGCATGTAAAGAGCTTCCGTATGGTTATTGGGATTACTTAAAAATGTGATTGTATATGGCAGCGGTTTTGAGGCTGTGTGTCAGAGGAAGTTGTTACTGCTTACAAGGCGCTTCTCACCTAGTAAATACAAAAAAACGTGTGCTTGTCAGGTACGGGGATATTAATATGCGAAATCTTAATTCGGTTGTGCAGGTTTTGGTATTTGAAGTGCTTATCTTGTTAAATCGCATATGAATGCTACTGAGAAGCGGTTTTGCAGATTACCTTTGTAGGGTTTTGTTTAACAAAAATCAAATCTTGCTGGAAGCTTGTGACGCTTCGTATAATAAAAAGATTATGGATAGCTCCTAATGGCTTTTAAAAGCTGTTTAATGCTGGTTGTGTCAAAGCAAGCAATTAGGGTCACTTAATCTACTTGATTATTTATCACGTTCCTCTAGCAGTATTCCATGCTTTTGGATGTGTGAAAATATGCATCCTGAGAAGGCTGCTTCACCACTTCATAGCCTTCAGTACAGAGCATATATATCTAATATGAAAACCAAAGGAAAAACTCGATTATGTGACAGTTTATTAGCCCCAAGCACAAGCAGACCATAAATGAACACCATTGTGTTGCTATAGCATGAGCTTCAAGAGAAAGAATGCATCTAAAAATATGTAGTCGTTTAAAGGAAGTTTGGTCAAATAAAATAGTATTAATGGATTAGACCTTACATAGGACTTATAAATTTCTGTTTAACTTAGGTCAGATTGTTTTAAGGTTAGGTGATGCAGATAAGGTCTGCTGATTCTTAATTTCTGTGATGCAATCAAGTGCTGTTGCATAATTCAATGTGGACAGGGTAACATTGGGCTACTTGGCTTGAAGGGCCAGAAGCGGAGCAGTGCAGTGAGCACTTTGAGACCTTGTTTAGTGTCAGTGGCAATTGCAGCAAGTTGGTGCCTCGGATTAAATTTTGGTCAGCAACTTGCAGCCCTAGTTCTGTCTTGAAGAGTTAAGGTGAACGCAAAGCAGGCAGAGAAAAAGAATGTCTTTTGCTTGCACTCAACTGGCAGGGAAAAAAATGTGTGGAATAGTAAGTATCTGCTGTGCAGCTCCAACATCAGGACCAGCTTATGTTCAAGGAGTGGATTTCTGGGGAACCCAGACACCCAGAACAGCATTGGAGAATTAAGTGTAAGCATGAGTTGTTCCACCACATCTTAGCTGCTGTTTCCTGCTTTATAGAACAGAGAACAGAACTGCAAGCGAGCAGGTTGGAATGACCTGTAACTGTGCAATTTTGTATGCTCTCAAAGAAAGTGACTAAATCTGCACCAATTTAGAAAAACATGGGCAGAAAGATCTCAGCTGTCCTCTTAAAATGAATATAGCTTCTGACAATGGAATTTGTTGTTTGCTCTACAGTGTTGGTAATACAAAAGTAAACAGACTTTCTGCTGGTGTTCAGTCACTTTTTATAGAGTAGCATACTGATGACTGGACATTTGAAAAGTAATGTCAGTGTATATTACAAAACTCCGTTCAGCATCCTATGTCAATAGCTGTGTGCTCTATGCTGTTCCATTATGAAAAGAACAGGAAGGAATATAAGCTTTGTGAACTTCATACTGGATGTTATTAATAAATGAATACAAATTAACAAAGTTGTGATTCACATAATGCCTTTAACTTTTGCAAACTGAGCAATCCTAAGAGTGGTGGAAAGTGCTGCTGGCCTGATGGGAATTCACCTGGCTGCTCTCCCAATCAGCCTGTTTTCTCTCCCTCTGCGGGTGTGGGGGTGTGTTAGGAGATGGAAATCCATTGGTAATTTTCAGCCGGCATACCCCTCAGGATCCCTAACCAATTGTTAGCAAAGCAGGCACAACATTTCAATAGTTGCAGCAGAGCCAAAGGATAAAAAAAAGCTGAGAATCAGGGAGTCATAACTGGCTCTCTGATGCTCCACATTTTCTATGCCAAACATATGTTGGTATAGAAGAAAGTCTGATTCTAAATACCAAAGTGTGGGCAAGATTTAACTGAAGTTTTCTGTAAAAGAAACCAAAGCTCTAAACTGTTGCTATATTTTACTGCATCTAGATATGCATATGTAGTCATATAAGTGGATTTAACCAGTATGGAATTGTGTTGTAGCTGCTTATAACAAGTGCTGATACAATCCCAAGGGTAAGAATAAGGTTTGCTGTAACTTTGCAGGTAGCAGGCACTGTGTTCTATTCCTAAGCATACAGAAGATATTTCTACACTTAAAGATCTGTTGACTCAAATGTGCAAAAACAGAAGTTTGAATTTCAAATTTACTACTAGATGTTTGTTAGCAAGTTGATTTATTTTGTCCGGAGCATAAAAACTTCTTTAAAGATTATTTTCAATTCCTGCAGAACATGTGTGTACCACTGAAGAAAGTATTTAAATGTCTTCTGAATTAATAACAGTGAACTTCAGTACTGTAAAAAAGCCCAAATAAACAAGAAAAACTGCCTTCTAAGCAAAAAGTGCTTGAAAATACAGGAAGGCTAGCTGGGCTGCTGCAATGAAGTGTTTGCACTGTTTATATTCGTGTATAGACATAAATATGTTTTAGGACTCTTCTCACGGTTTATAGACAAATGTGTTTCTTAATTGTTTACTTCTCAATTCTGACAGATTGCCTGGTCCTTGTAACTGTTAAGAGATGAGCACGTAAATATTTCTAGATTTTGGTCTGGTAAAACATTCCCATTGCAGATGCTACCTTTGACAATCCAAGTACAATTAATGTCATCTTTGCGGTAGCCTGTAATATTTTAAAGTCAAAACCACGGATGTGGGTGCTTGATCTGTTTTTCCCATGCTATTACCTGTGACATTTTCTCTCCCGTGTAGTGTCACCCTCGGGGAGGAGCGACAGGCAGCTACAGCAGTGGGCTCTCCAGCTCTGTTTTGCCTGGTCAGATTGCTTGCTTACATTTTTGTGCCCTAGTTCCTATGAGAAAACTAGGACTAAGCCGAGGGAGGTGTGAGCACAAATACACGTACTGACTTACCTGAAACTTTTAAATTTAAAGCACTGCACTTGTTTTACAGGGATGTTACAAAACTCCGAGACTGGGCGTTGCCTGTAGTTTTAACCTACCCCTTTAAAGGCCATCAGATGTGTACGATGCGTGTATCAAACCTTCCCCCTCCTCCCCCGTGGTCTGTTGGGGCTAAACTTGAGGAGTTACAAACTACTCTCCAGCTGCCAGCCCGCCCCTCTAGCAGTGTTTGGGTACTTATTTTATTCTTGACTATTCCCCCCCCCCTTAGTGCTGTTTCCGAAAGCATTGCTAGCGGAGGGCACGCGTGGTGCACTATCTGCCGGGTGAAAAACACGTAGGTGGGCTGCGGGCGGTGCCGGCGGCCTCGCTCAGGGGCCCAGCGGGGGGGCTGCCCCCCGGCCCGGCGGGGCCGCGAGGAGCGGGCGGC